TGGGCCCTTACCCACTGTTCTCCAATTCCCGGCAGCTTTCAGAAGCCCAAACTCCCAAGAAGAGCTGAGACCCGACAGCTCTGCCCTCCAGGTAGGAGCTTGCAGCTTGCAAAGCAAGGGGCCCCTCTAACCTGGGGAGGATCGGGAGGCCCTGGCTATCAGAGTGCCCACAGCTTAGCCAGGCTCAGCATGTCAGTCCCTCCCACTTCCCAAGCTTCGGGCCTGGCCTGTAATTAACTGAGCTGAAGCTGTTCTCCTGAGAGAGGACCAAGGAAAGAGAAAGTATAATTAGTGCTCATTAGTGGGAGGGTGGGTCTCCTGGGAGTTTGGTCTTCTGTAATGCACTGTCAGGCTTCAGGAAATCTGCAGGGCACTGGGCCAAAGGAGGAGTCCAGGAAACCCCAACCCTGTGTCTGACTGGGAGGTTCTGACCTGACTCCCAGGCTGGAGATGAGACTGCCCTTCCTAAGTCATCAGGGTCCCCCAACGATACTACGCATTCCCCACCCCGCTCTTAGTCACCCACTGTGGAATAGGAGACAGCACTGTCTTCAGGCTCTACTGCTTTTAAAATGAAATCATCCCATGAGCTCATTGATAGCAAGTGAAAATGAGCTGTCAGTCACTCTAAGCTCAGGAGGACCTTCCAAGAGCCATGGGCAGGGGCTGGGGAAACAGGGTCAAGGACTCAGGGCCTCTCCAGCCCCCTGCCAACCTGGGAGACCGGGCCCAGCTGGAAGGGGGAGCCCTGAGACCCAGGAGTTTCCAGACCTGAGCGGCTGCTCACCGGGTGGAAGACTGGCGGCTGCAGGATGAAAGTGTCAGGAAGCGGGTCCAGTTTCTCTCCAGGTGACATGGGGGTGGGGTGGGGTGCCTGGGGCAGGTCTCCCAGCAGTCAGTCTCACTCACACCCTGCAGGGTCCTAGTGGCGCTGGGAGCTGTCTACCCCCAGCGCCCGGCCCTAGCTCCAGCCCCACCGGCTGGACTGGGTGTCAGCAGAAGTCCAGGTCGAGCGTGGGGTGCGAAGCTTGCAGTAACTAATCCTCAGGGTCTGAAGCACGCAGCCTGTTGCAGAGGGAAGCCAGAAGCTGGTTCCTTTGAGGCCCGCAGGGGGTTGTGGTTTCCAGGGCGGCAGCCGGAGACCTTCAAAGTTCAGAGGCAGAGCTGGTGGTACATGTGGGCAGGTTCCAGGAGAAGCCCCGCCCCCAACTTCCTGGACACTGATGGGGGGCTTCCCCTTCCCTCCCCATAAAAGGTTTCCACCTCTCTCCCTCCTTTTCTGCCACTTTCCCCACTCTTCTCCTTTTGGCAGGTTTCATAGTCCTTTGGGGCTCCATTTCAGCAATGGCTGGAAATGCCAGGGCCCAGCTGGGGTCACAAGGAAGTGGGATGGGGAGAGGTAAGAACAGGCAGGGTGAGAGGAGACCCTCTGGCTCAGAAGAGGCAGGTGAGCAGAGGGGAGCACATGACTACACCCGAGGAGGCCCGGGTTCTTGCTCAGCCTCTGCTCTAGTGCGCTGTTCCCCAGGACAAGTCACTTACCCTCGCTGGGGCTCCTTTTGATCATTTACATATAGAAAAGGTGATCACAGTAGTGTGTCTTCTGTCTTGAAGGGAGGTCTGTATCTGGTCTAGATTTCTGTGTGTGTGTGTTTTTTTTAAAGCTACCCTGTTCTCCTTTGGTGGAGAAGGAAATAGCAACCCACTCCAGTATTTTTGCCTGGAGAATCCCATGGACAGAGGAGCCTGGTGGGCTACAGTCCACGGGGCTGCAAAGCCAAACATGACTTAACTGAACGACAACAACAAATGATCCTTGGGACTGGAACCATTCCTGTTCTGATTCAAATTCCAATAAGCCTTTTCCTTTAAAAAGCAGCACAACCTCTCAACTTTATCCTGAGTTGGGAAGTCCCAGGATCTGACCACTGTGTCGACTTGGCAGCAGATAATTCCTGGCAGGACGAAGCTGGTCGGGAGGGGAAAGGAAGCAGCTGCTCTGATGGGTGAGCCCTTGGGGGGTCCTAGGGAAAGAGGCTGCATCCGTACCTCCTGGGAACTTATTGGGCTTGCCTGGTGGCTCAGATGGCAAAGAATCTGCTTGCAATGCAGGACACTCAGGTTCAATCCCTGGGTCTGGAAGATCCAGAAATATAAACTTTTGAGCCCCACCCCAGAGATATTGGGGTGGAAGAGCCCAGGAATCAGCATTTTAATGTTTGAGAAACACTGACTTATTTTTTTTAACTTTCTTTTTCTTTTTCTTTTTCATTTATTTTTATTAGTTGGAGGCTAATTACTTTACAATATTGTAGTGGTTTTTGCCATACATTGACATGAATCAGCCATGGATTTACACGGAAACACTGACTTAGAGCCTAACCCGCAGGGCTCCAGGTACAGAACCAGGCTGTTTACTCAGACCCTGCTGGGTAGGGGGAGCTGGGCGGCTGAAGGTGTTCTGTGTGGGGAAATTGGATCTGAGGTGCGTTCAGGAAGAATAATCTATATACACAGCAGGGGGGAGAAACCAGAGGTAGAGAAACCAGCTGGGCAGGGATGGGGAGCCCTAGAGGGCGGAGCTCAGCTTGGCGGCACCCAAATGATGCCCTCCCCCACACCCTTTCCAGCCTCAGTGCCTCCTCCCTGAATTGAGGACCTAGGGCCAGCAAAACAAAACACTGGGGGCTGGGTGGCTGAGACAACATGTGTTTATTTTCTCACAGTTCTGGAGGCTAGAAGCCCAGATCAAGCTGTCAGCAGGGTTGTTTTTCTCCTTGGTTTGCATCCTCATCTTTTCTTGTAGGGAGGCCGGTCATATTGGATTAGGGTCCACCCATTTGACCTCATTTTACCTTCCTTTTCCTTTCAAAGGACTTATCTCCAAACAGAACACACCCTCACATTCTACATACTGTGGTTTTGTTGTTTAATCTCTAAGTCGTGCCCAGTTCTTGGTGACCCCATGGACTGTAGACCATTGGGCTCCTCTGTTCATGGGATTTCCCAGGCAAGAATACTGGAGTGAGATGCCATTTCCTTCTCCAGGGGATCTTCCCAACCCAGGATTGAAGCTGCATCTTCTGCATTGGTAGATGGGTTCTTTACCACTGAGCCACCAGGGAAGCCATACTTGGGGTCAGGACTCAACAGATGATTTGGGGGTGGTGGACACAATTCAGCCCATAACAGGAGAGTGGTTCTGAAACCCCAGGTGGTTTTCACTGTTTCTCTTTGCAACAGTCAGGAGTGGAGGCTGCTGAGGGCCTGCAGGAGGGAGGCAGCAGAAGAAAGGGGGATGGTGCATGTCATTTCTCTTTTCCGATGACTCCACCTTTTGACAGCTGGTGGCAGATGGGGACCTGGTTTGTTTAAAGCACACATCCAGACTTGCTGGATCTGATCTGAGAGGCTCCAGAGTAAGAGAAGGTCTTAGTCTGTCCAGGGGTGGCATGGGGTGGTGGAGTAAATTTCTCTTCCTGAGCCAGAGTCAGGGGGCACTTGTGGGAGAGGTTCAGGAAAGGGCTGAAGGTGACCTGACGCTTGCAGGTGGGGATCCCCTGCCGCAGACTGGCACTCTCCCACCCCACCTCCATACCCTCCATCCTGTACCTTTTCCTCAGAGCATTTATCATAGCTTGTCATTATGTATGGAAGAACTGTTTAATGTCTGTCTCTTATTCCCCCCACTCCTCACCTGTAAGTTCCAAGAGGGCAGATTTATTCTTACAACCAAATGCCTGACACAGGGAAAGTGCTCAGAATATAGACTGGGTGACTGTGAGAGGTGATGGTTTGTAACTCCTGTCCTGTCTCTGCCTTCTTCTCTGTCTCTCCCTTAGCAGGTGTGGAATCATGGCCCAACTGCAAAATAGCCCACGTACTCTTCTAACTAGCCACAGATTGTAACTGAGGCATTTTAGAAAGACCCAGAGGGATCGGGTAGAGAGGGAGGGGGAGGGGGGATTGGGATGGGGAATACATGTAAATCCATGGCTGATTCATGTCAATGTATGACAAAAACCACTACAATATTATAAAGTAATTAGCCTCCAACTAATAAAAATGAATGGAAAAAAATATATAAATAATAAAAAAGAAAAAAAAATCAATATTTGTCAATTACCAATTAATAGTTTGGGAAACATAATCCATGCTCAGGGATCTCAAGGTGCCCCACTTTCCCCGATTCTTTGATCTAGCAGCCTCTTTCACTGCTCCTGAATAGGTATAACTCTCTGGGCCTAGGGAGGGGCTACTGCATAGGTTAACCTACTTCGGTCTATGTCTCCATCCCTTTCTTCTATCTGATTCCCTTCTAGGTCACTGAAAATGCTCACGGATCCTTTTTCTCTCAGAACCAGTTTTGCATCATCCTAAAACATCGTGGCAGGATAGAAGAATTGACAAGGCAAGAAGAATTGGCAGAACCTGACAGCTAGCTGGATAAGGGAGACAAGGAAAAAGGACTCCCAAAAGGGACTCCAATATCTTGAATCAAATAATTCAGAAAATTCTGGAAAAACAGGGAAGATTGAGGTATAATCTGGAGGAGGTGGCAAGTTGGTTAATTCCAGCCAAGATCATTTTGGAGGAGGTTGGGGTTTAAGAATCAGTTTAGGTGGAGCCTGGACACAGGGGATGTTCAATTAGTGTGTTTGAAGGAATGAAGGTGCTATTGTCTGAAAGCAGGTTTGTATACTCTTGAGTAAACAGTTTCAATTTCTTTTGGTGGCTATGCTGCCCTGTAAGTGAGTTTTAGTGACTGCAGCAATTTTTTAAATAACTGGATGCTGTATTCGTTAAAGGGATCAGCAATCAATCTTGCTCTCAGGGTGCCTCCAGTCTAATTGGAGAGAGAAGACATATACTTGGAGGGAAGAACCAATAGGACAAAGCCAGGTGTTTTTATTTCTCTTCCCCCCTCCCCAAAGAGATGGATAGAAATATCATAAAATTGGGGAAAGGACAAGCAACATTCATAGGTTCAGTAGGCTAACATGACATTTCTTGTTATTAATATTTTGATGTGTATCTTACTGAACCAACCAACCAAAGAATCCAAAAATCCCAAACCACAACTCAATCAGTGCACAGCTTTTGCTCTCCTATCCTATTTGCTGGGGGAGAGAGGCAAGGCCTGGAAGCGCAGAAGCAGTCTGCTCCTGTGGGCACCTTCCCACTGCAGTGTTCTGAATGGGAGGGGAGGTGGAAAGGTCCTGAATGTGGGGGTGGGGGAGGAGAGGCATGGGGGCCCACCAGGCACTCCTTCTATCTCTGGGCAGTTCTACACTAGAAATAGTGTAGAAATAGAACAGGCAAAGTTCTTTTACTCCAGCACTCTCTGTCATGGAGGAGCCCCTCAGAGAGGCACCTGGGTCTCCCTTTGGGCCCTTTCAGAGGCAGGAGCCTGTCCTTCCCTAGCCCTCCCAACCCGCCTGGCTGCCTGAACAGCCCTGTGGTTCTTGCTTCTCCATATGCTACCCCAGGAACCTCTGAGGTCCTCATCTGGGCACCATGAGAGCCAGGAGTTCGGTTCAATTTAGTAGCTCAGTCGTGTCCGACTCTCTGCGACCCCATGGACTGCAGCACGCCAGGCTTCCCTGTCCATCATCAACTCCTGAAGCTTGCTCAAACTCATGTCCATCGAGCTGATGATGTCATCCAGCCATCTCATCCTCTGCCATCCCCTTCTCCTACTCCTGCCTTCAATCTTTCCCAGCATCAGAGTCTTTTCCAGTGAGTCAGTTCTTCTAATCAGGTGGCCAAAGTATTGGAGTTTCAGCTTCAGCATCAGTCCTTCCAATGAATATTCAGGACTGATTTCCTATTGAATTGACTGGTTTGATCTTCTTGCAGTCCAAGGGACTCTCAAGAGTCTTCTCCAACACAACAGTTCAAAGGCATCAATTCTTCGGCGCTCAGCTTTCTTTATGGTCTAACTCTCACATCCATATATGACTACTGGAAAAACCACAGCTTTGACAAGATGGACCTTTGTCAGCAAAGTAATGTTTCTGTTTTTTAATAGGCTGTCTAGATTGGTCATAGCTTTTGTTCCAAGGAGCAAGTGTCTGGAGCAAGCCAGGAGTTAATCACCCACAGATGTTTACTATAGGAACTTCAAAGGGCTATCTTTTAGGAAGAAGAAAGATGGCTTCAGAGGGAAGGTTTGTGATGTGAGAAGGAATGATAAACAAATGGAGTGGCAAATGTATAGACAAATCTAAGCATATATGTATATATAATAATGGTAACAATAGTAATGTGAATTTGGGGTTTTAAAAAAGGGCAGAACTAAAATAGCATGGAAGGGGCAGATTGGAGTGAAAGTGTTCCAAGGTTCTCACATTGCTTCAGAGGGGTGTTTAGGATATTACTTTAAACCTTTGATCATGAATGTTACAATTTTGAGGGCAATAATTAAAAGAATAGAGTGTAAACTTTCAAATGAATAGAGAAAAAAATGTAATAAACACCTAAGATCAAATATCTATGAAGAATATTATAAAACTTTGTTGAGAGACATTAAAGAAGTCCTAACAAAAAGAGAGATATAATATGTAATAGATTGGAAGACTCAGTTTTGTAAAGATCTCAAAATTGCTAAATTGATTTATGAATTCAATGTAATGTCAATCAAGGTGATGACACACTCTTTTGAGCAACCTGACAAGCTGATTCTGAAATATTTATGGAAGGGCAAAAACTCAAGAGTAGTCAAGAAACTCCTGGGGAAGAATAAGGGGAATCTGGAGATATTTATATATTAAGATTTATCATAAAGGTATAGTAATTAAGATCATATGATAAAATCATTGGATCCCTTCCAGGGTCCAAGAGTGAGTGGGCTCTTGTTTAACACTCAGAAATGAATTGCCCAAGGAGACACACATACTGACAAAGCAAGAGACTTTATTGGGAAAGGGCTTCCAGGCAGAGAGGTAGGGTAAGGGAACCCAGGAGAACTGCTCTGCCATGTGGCTTGCAGTTTCCAATTTTATGATGATGGGATTAGTTTCCAGGTTTTCTCTGGCCAGTCACTCTGACTCAGGGTCCTTCCTAGTGGCACATGCATTGCTTAGCCAAGATGGATGCAGTGAGGATTCTGGGAGGTGGTAGGACAGGTGGTATGTTCTTTTGACCTTTCCCAGATTCCTCCCATTGGTGGTGGCTTGTTAGTTCTGTGTTCCTTGCCAGGACCTCCTGTCGTAAAATAACTCACACAAATGGTTACTATGGTGCCTGGCCAGGGTGGGAGGTTTCAGTCAGTGTGTTTCCCTTAACAGTAGTAGCACAAAGACAAACACATTTTCCTGTGGAGTAGAATAAGAGCCAACAATATTCCTGCTCATTCACGAAAATCTGACATGTGACAGAGGTGGCCTTGCTCATCATGAGAGTGGGGGTTGGGCGTGGGGTTGGGAGGGAAGGAAGAAACTACCAGTAAGTGATGCTGAGATAAACAATTATTCATATGAGGGAAACACACATTGGATCTCTGCCTCACATGCACACAAAAATCAATTCCAGATTGACAGAATGAAAAGAGCGTTTTAAAAAATTTACAAGAAAATGTAGAAAAACATTTTTTCTGAATTCAAGGCAAAGTAAGACTTCATGAAAAGACATGGGGAGCTGACCTCAGAAGAAAGAATTGGTAAATTCTGCTTCCTTAAAGTCCATAATTTCTCTTCAAAAGATTTCATAAAAAGAGTGAAAAGACAAGCCAGGACCTGGAAGAAAATGTGTGCAAACAAATATGACTGGCTAAAGATGAATATCGAGAATTTATAAATAATACCTACAAATGAGTAAAAGTGCAACTCCAAAGACAAATGGGCAGAAGACACAAACAGGCACATTTGAAAGAGAAAGTCTAAATGGCTAATAAATATATGTAAAGGTCTCAATGTTATTAGTGATTGTGCTTAGTTGTTCAGATATGTCCAACTCTTTGAGACCACATGAACTATATAGCCTGGGCTTCCCTGGTGGCTTAAATGGTAAAGAATCTGCCAGCAGTGCAGGAGACCTGGGTTTGATCCCAAGGTTGGGAAGATCCTCTAGAGGAAGGCATGGCAACCCGCTCCAGTGTTCTTGCCTAGATAATGCCCATGGACAGAGGAGTCTGGCAGTCTACAGTTGATGGGGTTGCAAAGAGTCAGACATGACTGAGTGAATACACACAGCACAGGATTATAGCCTGCTGGGCTCCTCTGTCCATGGGAGTCCCCAGGCAAGAATTCAGGAGTGCGTTGCCATTCCCTTCTCCAGGAGATCTTCCCAACCCAGGGATCAAACCCAGGTCTTCTGCATTGCAGGTGGATGCTTTACCATCTGAGCCACCAGGGAAGCCCTATTAGTGATCAGTTATGTGCAAATGAAAACTTCAGTGAAATACTATTTTATATCTGCTCACCTGGAAAAATTAAGTAAGATAGTACTGCTGCTGCTGCTAAGTCACTTCAGTTGTGTCCAACTCTGTGCGACCCCATAGATGTCAGCCCACCAGGCTCCCCCATCCCTGGGATTCTCCAGGCAAGAACACTGGAGTGGGTTGCCATTTCCTTCTCCAATGCGTGCAAGTGAAAAGTGAAAGTGAAGTTGCTCAGTCGTGTCCGACTCTTAGTGACCCCATGGACTGCAGCCTACCAGGCTCCTCCATCCATGGGATTTTCCAGGCAAGAGTATGGAGTGGGGTGCCATTGCCTTCTCCAAAGATAGTACTACGTGTTGGCAAAGATGTAAATCAACAAAAATTCTTACCCACTACTGGTGGAAGTGGAACTGGTACCACCAATTGGGAAAATGTTTTAGTGTTCTGTTGAGGCACTTTAATGAACCGAAACCTGGTGATCCGGAATCGATGATAAGAAAGTGAAAGAGAGAGAGGGGGAGAGAGAGAGAGAGAGAGAGAGAGAAAGACACGGGGACCCAAGCTCTGATGGAGCAAGGATGCTTTATTAACAGAAATGCAGGCTTATGTATCTTTAGTAAGATGATTACTCAGCTATTACACAGGATGAAATTTTATCAATAGCCACAATATGGATAGTCTAATACATACAAGGTCGCTGATGTGAAAAGAGTCACTGAAGGGGATTCATGCATGTCTCATCCTATGACCTCAGTCCTGGGAATAGCGTGCCATTTCACTCATTCCCATTGCCAGGAACTGATAAGGAACAGAGGATTTATGAGAAATAGAAAACAGCATGCAGGAATCCTCCTGTTAAATGTTCCCTGACAATTCCCCCTTATTTATTATATTTGTAAAAAAAGGTTTTGACTAATTAAGTTTGTTTAGTTTTAACAATTTTTTCATAAAGGCAATGGCAAACAACAAATATAATTGTAACAAAAGGAAGGGGAACACAAGCTTGTATGAAATATGATTGATTATAATGAAAGAAATAGTTACCATGACTATGATTGGTCTCTGTGAAATGTCCAGTCTAAGTTCTAAGTTCTTCAGTGCTTGCAGCAAGTTTTCAGGTGTCTCATTGTTTAGGCCCAATCTGTATATTGAGGATGATTCGAGGACAAGGGGGTGTCATTTCACCATCAAGCCAGCCAAGAAGTCCTTTGTCATGGTAATGTTTTATTGTAGTATTAGTAACTTTTCATGCTACTTGAGTAGCATAGTCATACATAGTACTGTTAATATCATCTGAGCAGTTAGATAACCACATATCATGGGGTCCCCAATTGACAATTGTATGATTAGCCATAAACATTAATTTTTCTGATTTTGGAAATCCTGATTTTGGATTTTGGTCCCTTTTGATAGCCTGCTCATGTCTAACTGTCTACCTATTTCCCTTCTCAGGCATCTGGGAACCCAGTCTCAGGGGAAAAGGGCCAATGACCACTCTGGCTTCTTCAGGCTGTATAGGAGCGTCATGGAGTTTTGGGTTTCCTTTGCCTGCTGTCTGTCAGGGAGTATTAACAGAGGGAGATGAGAGTCCATGGAATGATAAGATGACTTGTTTCAGCATTGTCTAGGTGTTGGTAAGGGAATATTCTTGTCTTACTATCACTTGGAGATTTGTTGTATTCTGGAAGAAAAAACTTAACAGAAAAGTTAAAGGCCCATGGCCCAAAGATTAATAGAAGTAGAAAAGCTGTTCAGGGACTACCAGGAGAACCAGAACCAGACATTGGTTCATGACATTAGTGTTTCTCTAGGTATGAGAAGATGCAAGAATTTGGGCTCATAAAATCTTTACCTGAAAACATCTGACTCTCTGAGGCTGGTTCCTCTGGGTTTTTCTCAGAGCATAGAGTGCCTTATTTTTGATCTCCACCCTGAACTCCTTTCAGGGGGTGTTGAAGGTCAGCAGCTTGCAGTGGTCATGATGTAATCTTTGTAGAGGCAGCTGGCAAGTACCAACTTCCAGTCAGCAGGGTCCCTTCATAGCCATATATTTGACCATGTTTGGCTGGGATTTCATGGCCATTGTGACTCCTGGTGTTGGGAAGGCTCAGTCCCACGTCTAAGGAAGATTTTATTGATAGGCCACTCAGTGTGCTGTTATTGGACCAGGTCTTGCAAGTAGCAAAAGTCTCAGGACCACTGTCTTACTAGCCTCTTGGTCCAGGAAAATATTCCTTCTTGTTGTTTCTTCCCATATCTAGAGTTACATTATTACAATCATTGATCTCATATGGAACTGCTTATCAGCATTGTATCATAGGCTCAGTCACACATTTGTTAATCTAAGAAATTCTTCCAAAACAAGTGACATAGAAAATAATATAGCTATAGCTAGCAGTTATTAGTAAAGTCATAAGTCTTAAGAAACTTGTATCATGCATAAAACTCTCTTCTACTTGCCACAAACCTTTTTTACACTTTCTGTATTCATCTGTAAGCTATATTTCTTTTTCTCTTAATAAAATATACCACATGCAGAACTTTCTTCTTGGGTTTCACTTTCCACAAACCTTTTTTACACTTTCTGTATTCATCACTTTATTTGTCCATTCATAGAACAGCCATCTATAAGCCATATTTCCTTCCTTTTCTCTTAATAAAATGTAGCACATATAGAGCTTTCTTCTTGGGTCTCACTTTCCATAAACTTTTTTTTATACTTTCTGTATTTATCACTTTGTCTATTCATAGAATAGCCATCTATAAGCCATACTTCCTTTTTCTCTTAATAAAATGTAATTCCATTTCTTATACCCTTTTTACTGAAAACATGCATCTTACTTTCTTTCAGAAACATGAACTGTTGTTTAGCTCATTTATAAATTGACCTCAGCAATATTATCCAGAGACAAAGACATACATTGAGACGTATCTAGACAGACAGAGATCTCACAGTTTTCTGCTGTAAGATTTAAAAGATCTTTTTGCCCCCTCCCCTTTTTTTTGGACTTGAAGTTGTACTAATCTGTTTAAGGCTCACATCTCAGGCAAAGTGGGTTGTCTATTTCAATAACATGATAAGAATTAATCATAGTCTTTTGCTTAGGCATGTTTCTGTTATATCAAGGTTGGAGCTGTTGGGTCAGGAAGTCCCGTGGGAGAATGAAGGGAGGGGAGTACAAACAATTTTAGAGGTCAATCTAGTCTGATGCGAGTAAGAAACTGTTTTTATAATTTATTTTGCACTAAATAGAGTTCCTCTTGGGTCTCTTGAGAAAGTGAATGAGGGCTATTTAAAGTAGGATCTCCTTTCATTAACTTTTCTAAGGTCTGTTAAGTGATGCCATTTGTTAGATTTCTTTTTTATAACAAAAATAGGAGAATTCCAAGGAGTGCGAGCAAGTCTAGCAAAGGAGAGACTTTTGGATTTGTGCCCGCTGGCAGAGGAGGAGCATTTGGAGCAGCTGGGGCAGGGCTTGCAGGAAAATTCTGAAATATTTTATGTTGTTCTAATTGGGCCTTTTGTAAAGTTTCATCATCTAATTCATATTCATGTAACAAGTGTTCTGTTGTCGAATATCATGAGGGCTAGAATTACCTTGAAATGGCAGAATTACAGCTTTAATGAGAGCCTATAGGGGCCAGAAATCAATAGGAATATATATATACATATATTTTTTTTTGTCTGGCGGCTCATACAACATTTTCTTTGACCTGGTGCCAAATTTCTAAATCAAACCACCTTTATCAGGGAACCAGGGATTATGCTCAACTACTGTTTTAAGGTAAGCTTCTATTCATTGGTGTGAAACCAAAAGTCCCTGAGCTTTAAACAACTGGTGAAGTAAAGTAGAGAAATGATGGGGCTTTCCAGCTGTTTAACCCATGTCTTAGTACTTACCGACATCAGTAGGCCCTGAGTCACTCTGTCCGAAATGCCACATATACCAGGTCCCTGTTCAGGTGCCACTTGTTGTGGTCCTTTAATGGACCAGAACCTGGTGATCCAGAGTTGACGATAAGAAAGTGAGAGAGAGAGAGAGGGAGGGAGGGAGAGAGAGGAAGAAAGAAAGAAAGACAGACAGACACGGGGACCAAGCTATGATGGAGCAAGTTGCTTTATTAGCAGAAATGCAGGCTTATATATCTTTAGTAAGATGATTACTCAGCTATTACACAGGATGAAATTTTATCAAGAGCCACAATATGGATAGTCTAATACATACAAGGTCGCTGATGCTGAAAAGAGTCACTGAAGGGGATTCATGCATGTCTCACCCTATGACATCAGTCCTGGGAATAGCGTGCCATTTCACTCATTCCCATTGCCAGGAACTGATAAGGAACAGAGGATTTATGAGAAATAGAAAACAGCATGCAGGAATCCTCCTGTTAAATGTTCCTTGACAGTGTTCTACTATAAAGTTGAATATTTTCATATCTTGCTAGCTATTAAATCCTATAGACTCTCTTACATGCATATACCAGGACGCAGTTTGGGTTCTTTTCAATATTTTTCTAAATCCAAAATAGAAATAACCCCAAGTAATTTCATCAGGAGATCAATAAATTGTCTATTCACATAATGGAATATTTTTCAGCAAGGGAAGCAAATTACAGATTTGTATAGCAATGTGAATGCATTATAGAGACAACTTTAAAAGAAACAGATTGCAGAAGATACAGTGTGATTAAATTGTGCTATGAGCTTCAAATAAGCAAAATGAAACAGCGTGTTAGGAATACAAAGAAGAGATTTAAAAAATGTTTTATAAAGCAAGAGCATGATAGACAGGAGAGAGGTAACCTATCAGGGGTGGGGGTGAGGAGGAGGCTGGGAGACAGGATAAGGGAAGAACGTACAGGCAGGAGGAGCATTTGTGCTAGGTATTGATGTGTTGCAGCGTTCTTACCAACGATGGTATATTGCTGCTGCTGCTTAGTTGCTCAGCAGTGTCTGACTCTCTGCAGCCCCGTGGACTGTAGCCCGCTCCAGAGGACAGGCTCCTCTGTCCAGGGAATTTTCCAGGCAAGAATACTGGAGCAGGTTGCCATTTCCTACTCCAGGGGATCTTCCCAACCTAGGGACTGAACCCGCATCTCTTGCATCTCCTGCATTGGCAGGCACATTCTTTAACTCCTGGTGCCAACTGGGAAACCCTGGATGGTGCATTCATCGGTGGTAACATTATCATCGTTTCAAAACTACACGTATTCCATTATTATTATTTTTATGTGTATACATATATGTACATATATATATAACATATGTATATAATTTAATTAAAAGTTTGTAAAAGACTATCTGTGCATCTACCTAGTCTGAATCTCCCAAGATTTTAACTCTTATGACAACAATAAGATGCCTCTCCAAGACCTCCTAACCAGGCCTCAACTCCTGTCTCCATTTGTCGCTCTCTTGTCTGCACCGTTGACCTTCAGCTTCTCCAACCACATCAGATTCCACCTGAGTCCTATGCAAACGCTTGTTACTTTCCATCCCACCAATAGCCCACGCCGCTTTTTCCCGCCTTTCCTCTCAACATCCCTCTGCCCCCAGGTTCCTGGGCCTTCAAGCGCGCGATCGGTGCCCACCCTGTTCGGGCACGTGCTCACCGCGCCCGAGCCCCCGGCGCTCCGAGCGCTCTGGCCGCGCGCCCCCGCCGTTTGCTGCGCGCTCGCGTGCCGGCTCCGCGCCCCTCTGCCCTCCCTGCGCGTCGCCGACCGGGCCCGCGCCGTCTGGGAACTATCCCGGCGCGTCTCCCCCTGCGAGGCCCGGGGACCGGCGGGGCGGCAGCAAGCGGGATGGGCCTGAGCCCCGCCGCCCGGGGCGAGGGCGGGCGCTGCCTCCCTAGGTTCCCACGGTCCCGCGTCAGGCCCGCCTTGAGAACGGCGAGTACTGGGCCGAATGGCACCCAGCCCGCTCCTGGACTTGCAGCCGGGCCCCGGTCAGGCCGCCGCGGGCGTGGGGCTTCTCCCCACCGAGCCGCCACGCCCGGGCCTGGAGCCTTCCGGGGTCGTTCTCCAGGTCCCAGCAGGCCCTCGGACCTCCAGAAAGGTCACCGTGGTTTCCTTCAACTCTCCTCGTAGATATTTGTTCATTGTTAGAGAGGCTTGTTAACCGAAATAAGTGAATAGTTAGGAATGGTCGTTGGCTATTAATTTAGGCAAAGAGGGCCAGGCATCCAGCGACCCTCGCGAGTGTTTACCGAGTAAACAGACGCGGCTGCTGTCCGGCAGGTAGAGTTCACAACAGCTCCAGGCCCACAGGAGCTTCTGCCATTGGGTTTAACCCCAAGGCTTCTGCCATCTGGGTTAGAGGCAACAGTTCCCCGACTCCGTACCCAGAAACTCCAAAATCTCTCTTTCCCGGAGGAGGAACCCTTTTCAGGATGGCCCCACAGCCCCTTTTATCCCAAAATTTATTGAGGGCTAAGACGCTTACTCCTTGGAAGGAAAGTTATGACCAACCTAGATAGCGTATTAAAAAGCAGAGACATTAGTTTGCCAACAAAGTCCGTTTGGTCAAGGCTATCGTTTTTACAGTGGTCATGTATGGATGTGAGAGTTGGACTGTGAAGAAAGCTGAGCGCTGAAAAACTGATGCTTTTGAACTGTGGTGTTGGAGAAGACTCTTGAGAGTCCCTTGAACTGCAAGGAGATCCAACCAATCCATCCTAAAGGAGATCAGTCCTGGATGTTCATTGGAAGGACTGGTGTTGAAGCTGAAACTCCAATACTTTGGCCACCTCATGCGAAGAGTTGACTCATTGGAAAAGACCCTGATGCTGGGAGAGATTAGGGGCAGGAGGAGAAGGGGACGACAGAGGATGAGATGGCTGGATGGCATCATCAACTGGATGGACATGAGTTTGAGTAAACTCCAGGAGTTGGTGATGGACAGGGAGGCGTGATGTGCTGCAGTTCATGGGGTCGCAAAGAGTCGGACACGACTGAGCGACTGAACTGAACTGAGTGAACTGGGAGCTGGGCTCAGTGCTAGACTGGAGCTCCCACCTTCCCAATGCTGTCGAGGCCTGGCTCCAGCCCTCCTTTCATGCGTTACACTCCCCATAGAAGGCAGTTGTGGTTTAAATATTCAGTAATATGATTTCTTTTTTTCCTTTGCATTAGAAGAATCTGTGGGATCTCAGGCGTTGGACCAGCTTTTGCCCAAGCAGCCACAGCAGGGTACGATAGAGCAGGGCAGAAGCAGTGTCCAGCAGAGGTAAGATTCTTTCTTTGTGTGGAAGGACTGGGTCTTTAAGGGCTGGTTTTGAAGAACTGACTTTGATGACAGTTCTGTAATACAAATCCTTAGCTGGTGTCTGCATGAACCAGGCTGCCAGGGAGGCCTGGTGTGCTCCTGGTGATAACAGCGGGAGGGCAGTCCTGGAACCTGCAGGCCAGGCCTGGAGGCTGCCTTGTAGTAGTTTCTAGCCACAAGGCCATTCTGCAGACCCCTGAGAGCTGAACTGCTTCCCAAGAATGCTTACAATATTGCCAGCTGGTCTCAGTAACTAATGAATGATGCAACCATCTTCCAGTTTCTGCAACTGACTTTCTTGAGAAACATGATATTTGTCTCTGTTTAAGATTCTGAGAGCTGAAAGTTTGGAGAAGAACAATACTGAAAACGGGTAGTATATCCCATCTCCTCCCCATCACTCCCATACACTGTACCTTTGGAGAAGAGTTAAAATTTGGGGATGTAAGGAAAAAGCCATTTTGGGGGTGGTCATTCCAAACCCAGTGATCAAACCTGGGTCTCCTACATTGCAGGCAAATTCTTTACCATCTGAGACACCAGGGAAGCCAGATGTATACATATGCTTTTCCATTTAACCCTCTTGATAACTGTGAGACCAATATTAGCATCTCTAGTTTATAGACAGTCAAACTGAGGTTCAGACAGACTAGTTTACTAGCTCAAGGTTGCACAGCAAATATGAGAGCCAGGATTCAAACTCAGGTCTTTGTGGCTTCATATAGTTCACTCTACTGTTCTACCCCAAAATCATATCCCTGCCTTTAGTTTCAGTCCTCTCCTGTAACATTTTGCTTCGAGGGACAAAATATACCGATTTCTATCACATTACTGGCAGTTACAGTGTTGTCAACAGGCTTTGTCAGAAATATGGAGCTAATTATTGGAAGAAACAGTCCAACAGTTGAGGGGCCCTTCTTCTGGCCTGGAGGACTGGGAGGGGAAGGAAAGGAGAAGAGGCCTGTTGAATTTCCTTAGAAGTCACTGTGTACTGTTTTTAAAAAAGCTATGTCTAAATATTTAAACACATCAAAAAAAGATTCTTAGAGGGAGGGAAACACCCCTGAAAACTACTCATTGCTGTCATTAGCATTTAAACAATTGTCTGAAAAGCAGAAAACAGCCATTGTTTTTGCAGGACAGAATGGCATCACAGAAACATATTTCATAGGCAAAATGTTTCCTAGAATCTCCAAACTGAAAAATATCTTAAAATCATGACTCTGAAGTAATACAGAATTTCCAATACTTGTGAAGTAGTGGTTTTTCTATTAACTATATGATCACAAAATTCATTTAGGGAGAAGTCCGCAGTCAGCCTGGAGTCCACACCCAACCAGAAGAGAACAGAGCGGAATTCAACCCCGAAGCCTGGGACTACGGGCAGGTTAACGAAGCAAGCAGCGGAGGTGGGTACTGTGGGAATTCTCAGACCAGGTATATCTTTAATTCCTGGAGACTTCTCTACATTATACTGTATTTTACTTTATTTTATATGGTGGAAGGTTGAATTGCACACTGATTAGGGATGTTGCTTTCAGTTCAGTTCAGTTCAGTTGCTCAGTCATGTTCAACTATTTGCATCCCCATGGACTGCAGCACACCAGGCCTCCCTGGTCATCATCAGCTCTCGGAGTTCACCCAAACTCATGTCCATTGAGTTGGTGATGCCATCCAACCATCTCATCTTCTGTCATCCCCTTCTCTTCCTGCCTTCAATCTTTCCAGGCATCAGGGTCTTTCCAAATGAGTCAGCTCTTCCCATCAGGTGGCCAAAGTATTGCAGTTTCAGCTTCAACATCAGTCCTTCCAGTGAACACTCAGGACTGATCTCCTTTAGGATGGACTGGTTGGATCTCTTTGCAGTCCAAAGGACTCTCAAGAATCTTCTCCAACACCACAGTTCAAAAGCATCAATTCTTCAGTGCTCAGCTTTCCTTATAGTCCAACTCTCACATCCATACGTGCCTAAAAAAAAAACATAGCCTTGACTAGGCGAACCTTTGTTGGCAAAGTAATGTCTCTGCTTTTTAATATACTGTCTAGGTTGGTCATAGCTTTTCTTCCAAGGAGCAAGCGTCTTTTAATTTCATGGCTGCAGTCACCATCTGCAGTGATTTTGGAACCCCCCAAAATGAAGTCTCTCACTGTTTCCACTGTTTCCCTATCTACTTGCCAAGAAGTAATGGGACCAGATGCCATAATCTTAGTTTTCTGAATGTTGAGCTTTAAGCCAACTTTTTCACTCTCCTTTTTCACTTGCATCAAGAAGCTCTTTAATTCTTCACTTTCTCCCATAAGGGTGGTGTCATCTGCATATCCGAGGTTATTGATCTTTCCTCCCAGCAATCTTGATTCCAGCTTGTGCTTCCTCCAGCCCAGCGTTTCTCATGATTTACTCCGCATGTAAGTTAAATAAGCAGTGTGACAATATACAGCCTTGACGTGTTCCTTTTCCTATTTGGAACCAGTCTATTGTTCCATGTCCAGTTCTAACTGTTGCTTCCTGACCTACATACAGATTTCTCAAGCAGGTCTGGTGGTCTGGTATTCCCATCTCTTTCAGAATTTTCCACAATTTGTTGTGATCCACAAAGTCAAAGGCTTTGGAGTAGTCAGTCAATAAAGCAGAAATAGATGTTTTTCTGGAACTCCCTTGCTTTTTCAATGATCCAGCAGATGTTGGCAATTTGATCTCTGGTTCCTCTGTCTTTTCTAAACCCATCTTGAACATCTGGAAGTTCACGGTTCACGTATTGCTGAAGCCTGGCTTGGAGAATTTTGAGCATTACTTTGATAGCGTGTGAGATGAGTGCACTTGTGTGGCAGTTTGAGCATTCTTTGGCATTGCCTTTCTTTGGGATTGGAATGAAAACTGACCTTTTCCAGTCCTATGGCCACTGCTGAGTTTTCCAAATTTGCTGGCTTATTGAGTGTGCACTTTCACAGCATCATCTTTTAGGATTTGAAATAATTCAACTGGAATTCCATCACCTCCACTAGCTTTGTTCATAGTGATGCCTCTTAAGGCCTGCTTCGCTTCACATTCCAGATGTCTGGCTCTACATGAGTGATCACACCATTGTGGTTATCTGGGTCATGAAGATCTTTTTTGTACAGTTCTTCTGTGTATTTTTGCCACCTCTTCTTAACATCTTCTGCTTCTGTTAGGTCCATACCATTTCTGTCCTTTATTGTGCCCATGTTTGCATGAAATGTTACCTTGGTATCTCTAATTTTCTTGAAGAAATCTCTAGTCTTTCCCATTCTGTTGTTTTCCTCTATTTCTTTGCACTGATCACCGGGGAAGGCTTTCTTATCTCTCCTTGCCATTCTTTGGAACTCTGCATTCAAATGGGTATATCTTTCCTTTTCTCCTTTGCTTTTCGCTTCTCTTTTTTCACTGCTATTTGTAAGGCCTCCTCAGACAGCCAGTTTGCTTTTTTGCATTTCTTTTTCTTGGGGATGGTCTTGATCCCTGTCTCCTATACAGTGTCACAAACCCCATCCATAGTTCATCAGGCACTCTGTCTATCAGATCTAGTCCCTTAAATGTATTTCTCACTTCCACTGTATAATCATAAGGGATTTGATTTAGGTCATACCTGAATGGCCTAGTGGTTTTCCCTACTTTCTTCAGTTTAAGTCTGAATTTGGCAACTAGGAGTTCATGATCTGAGACACAGTTAGCTCCTGGTCTTGTTTTTGCTGCCTGTATAGAGCTTTTCCATCTTTGGCTGCAAAGAATGTAATCAATCTGATTTCAGTGTTGGCCATCTGGTGATGTCCATATGTAGAGTCTTCTCTTGTGTTGTTGGAAGAGGGTGTTTGCTACGACTAGTGTGTTCTCTTGGCAAAACTCTATTAGCCTTTGCCCTGCTTCATTCTATACTCCAAAGCCAAACTTGCCCATTACTCCAGGTGTTTCTTGACTTCTTACTTTTGCATTCTAGTCCCCTATAATGAAAAGGACATTTTTTTGGGGTATAGTTCTAAAAGGTCTTGTAGGTCTTCATAGAACCGTTCAACTTCAGCTTCTTTAGTGTGGCTGGTTGGGGCATAGACCTGGATTACCGTGACACTGAACGGTTTGCCTTGGAAACGAACAGAGATCATTCTGTCGTTTTTGAGAGTGCACCCAAGTACTGCATTTTGGACTCTTTTGTTGACTATGATGGCTACTCCATTTCTTCTAAGGGATTCTTGCCCACAGTAGTAGATATAATGGTCATGTAAGTTAAATTAACCCATTCCAGTACATTTTAGTTTGCTGATTCCTAAAATGTCAATGTTCACTCTTGCCATCTTCTGTCTGACCACTTCCAATTTGTCTTGATTCATGGACCTAACATTACAGGTTCCTACAATATTGCTGTTTACAGCAATGGACCTTGTTTCTATCACCAGTCACGTCTACAACTAGGTTGTTTTTGCTTTGGCCCCGTCTCTTCATTCTTTCTGGAGTTATTTCTCCAGTGATCTCCAGTAGTATATTGGGCACCTACTGACCTGGGGAGTTCATCTTTTAGTGTTCTGTATTTTTGGCTTTTCATACTGTTCATGGGGTTCTCAAGGCAAGAATACTGAGGTGGTTTGCCATTCCCTTCTCCAGTGGACCATGGTTTATCAGAACTCTCCACCATGACCTATCCATCTTGGGTGGTCCTCCACGGCATGGTTTAGTTTCATTGAGTTAGACAAGGCTGTGGTCCATGTGATTAGATGTTGCTTATGCCTTTTAAATTGTTTAGAAACAGCTTTATGGGTCTGTTTACTGAGCGTTATTGAGGTATAACCAACATACCATAAACCGCATATGTTCAGAGTATACAGTTGGATATGATTTGACGCATGTATTCGCCCATGAAACCATCACCACAGTCAAGATAACAAATAACCAGGGAATTCCCTGGCAGCCCAATGGATAGGACTCTGTGCTTTCACTGCTAAGGGTGCAGGTTCAATCCCTGGTGGGGGCACGGACATCTGCATCACTCCCACAGCTTTCTTTGTCCCCCTCTGTAAACCCCTCCCTCTTCCACTCTCATCCCCACGCAACAACTGATGTGCTTTCTATTGCTGTGCGTTAGTTTGTATTTTCTAGAGGCTTGCATAAATGGAATCATATTGTATGTGCTTTTCTGGGTCTCTCTCCTTTCACATAATTTCATATAATTATTCCAAGTTATATCTGTGTTGCTGCATGTTATCAATAGTTTATTTCTTTTTATTACTAAGTAGTATTTCATTGTATGGATGGACCACTGTTTGTTCATTCACTCACCTATTGATGGGCATTTGGGTTGTTTCTAGTGTTTGCCTGTTGCAAATAAAGCTACCTATGAACACGTGTGTACAGACTGTTATAGGGAAGAGCCAATTTTGACTCCATATTGGATCTGTTTCTTTGACTTCACTTGTGTTTCCCATTGCTTTTGGTCACTAAAAGTATACTTTCCATACATAATGACCTGTCTCAGGGAGCCCTCCCCTCTGTTGTAGGCATGAAGAAGCCCTCCACCCACTTCCTTGCATCACCCCTCAGAGTTGTAAGACTTTCAGAAACTTTTATCGTCTAGGAGCCTTCTGAAAGACTGGTTTTTCTAAACAGGTGCCTATATCTGGGAGAAGGGCCAGGGCTGGACTGCCAGCCTGTGCAAAGGAAATAAATAACAAGATGGATGGAAGATTTTGAAGTGACATCTTATTTTCAAGAGTGTAAAAGGACAGAGAAAGCTTAATCTGGATTTGGAGACTGGAGCACCAGCTGGGGCTGGAGGTCAACCTGGAAGATATAGACTGGTTTCCTGAGGTTCATGAAGCGCTGGGGGCTGGGGAAAGTCAAGGATAAGAAAGGATAAGGCCTTGGAAAAGCTCCCGGTGTGGCTACAACCTTGGCTGCCATTAGAGGCACCCAAGGAGCTCTTAAAACTCTGGTTCTCAGGCCATACTCCACATTAATCTTAATTTTTAAGAGTTCTGCAGGGGATTTCCACGTGCCGCCAAAGTTGAGACCCAAAGCTCAATACAATCAGTTTATAGTGGGACAAACTTCAGCAAGAGAGCAGGTGACTATTAAGCAGGTGACTCTAGGAGACTGTCAAGTCTGTTGTAAATTCCATTCAAGTTTTCACCTTCCTACCCCTGTTGAAACTCAACGTTCAAAAAACCAGATTAATGGCATACGGTCCCATTACTTCATGGCAAATAGATGGGGAAAATGTGGAAACAGTGACAGACTTTATTTTCTTGGGCTCCAAAATCACTGTGGACAGTGACTGCAGCCATGAAATTAAAAGACACTTTCTCCTTGGAAGAAAAGCTATGACAAACCTAGACAGCATATTAAGAGGCAGAGACACCATTTTGCCAACAAAGTTCTGTATAGTCAAAGCTATAGTTTTTCTAG